ATCTGATTATGCTAAATCAGATCTCAATTTATATAAAATTGGTAAACTTCTCCTTTAACTTTTAAACATTGATTATACCTATTATTATCTGGATTGAGATTTCATCAGTATTAAGATTATACAGTGTTAGACAATTGTATGTTCAATTCAAACAAAATTAGATAAATTAATTGTAAAATGTAAAGTAAGTATATCATATTCAATATACTTATGTTTTAGACTCCAGTACACCTATCGTCACTGTGTATGACATCATTGACTTAAGCCTACTTGAATTGGAGAACCCAAATGAAGATGTAAACTTTACCTTTAGTAGGTGTATGTTGGCCGCTACTTGGTCAAGAGATGGATTCACTGGAGTTCCCGTAGAAAGGTTAACCCATGATGTTCATCGAACATTTTTATCAATTAGGCCTAAGAGAAAAATATTCTTATTATAAGCTGTTGTGTGTGTTTTTGCCATGATCATCGTTGTTGTCATCATTTTCATTATCATTGTCATTATGATATTACTATTAGAAAACTAATATTAAGGTATTACTATTAAGGGGCTAATAATCATGTTGTCGTTAAGTTTATAATATAATAAGTAGAACATCCTCCTCTGGAACGTACCTGTTAAGAGGACACTTTTTTTACTGAACTAATTGTCATTATGATATTACTATTAGAAAACTAATATTAAGGTATTACTATTAAGGGGCTAATAATCATGTTGTCGTTAAGTTTAATATAATAAGTAGAACATCCTCCTCTGGAACGTACCTGTTAAGAGGACACTTTTTTTACTGAACTAAACGAGGGAAGGTATATCTTTTAACACTATTGGCAACCTCTCTATTCAGGTGCGTTGGGTGTGTACGCATCCCCCAAATCAAAAAACGTCCACTAATTATAACAACAAAAAAAATGTGACCTTGTTCCCAGAATCATTATAAAATGAATCACATAACAGTACAGTATTAAGATTGTATGAATGTACAAATGAGTTACAATAAGAATACTAGAGCGCTGACTCCAGTTTTGTACTGCCAGCAACATAACACAACAAAAATACACACGTTATATGCAAGTTATCGTCTAGGTGTATCTTCCCCTAACTAACCGGTATGTCAGTGTATAGCAATGAAGTCAAAATGCTAGAATGACACCCCGGTTTAGAATAAAAATAAAAATGTTGATAAATTTGTTTCAAATGCTTCTAGTTGTTTGAATCAGCTCATTTACAGTCGCTTTTAATCCACTCTTTATTCCAAACTTTGCTATTATTCATTTAAAAGCAGAATTGATTTTGAATTTTTATTCGTAATGGTTACACCACGAATTTATACAGTAGTATTTTTCATTTGGGAAACGATTTGCTTGTTTCTCCATGTCGTCCACTGGTAATTTTTTGATAGGCCCTCGCTGTGTTCACGGACATATAGAGATTAACATGATAAAATGCCTTCAAATTAGTCTACTAGATCGTAAGAAAGCAAATTTTTTCCGGGGCCTTCGGCCCCTGGATCCCGACCGGGGGCCCTGGGCGGCTCCCGGCCCCCAGACTAGTTGCTCGCAAAACGCACCCCTATAATTAAGGCGTCCCCTTAATAAGAGTTTTATTGTAAGTTGAGTGCTACGGTATTCCTAATTTTAGGTATGAATGGAGTGCAGGTGATTTTTCATCAACATCAAAACAACCGAAAGGAATCTTCAATGCAGCAGTCGACCAAGTCTGGTTCTGTCTCTTATACACATCTAGATGTGTATAAGAGACAGCTTTTAAGCATTGATTATACCTATTATTATCTGGATTGAGATTTCATCAGTATTAAGATTATACAGTGTTAGACAATTGTACAAGATACAAGATACAAGATACAAGTCAACTTTATTGTCAAAATAATACATTCTGAGATATTTGTTGTACATGACATAGAATCGTTCATAAACATATAGAGTGTTAAATAAAGATTTCTTAGAAAATAAAAATTTGAGTCCTGTGCAGTTATCTTCTGAAATTTTGATTAAATAGATTACAAGCGATGTACAATGCTGAATGTAATAAGTTGCCAGGTATATATTTATTTAATAGTGAGCAAACGTTTTCGGTTATCAACCTTTGTCAAGCTGAAGAAAAATATGATGAGAGCAAAATATATATAGTAAATAGAAGGCTCAAAACATGGCTAAAAACTATGGAATGCACCAATGAGGTGGCAGAACAAAACGTAGTGGCCAATGAAAAGCCAGAAAATAAAACAAAGCATAAAACAATAGAACAATGTAGGGAGGAAACCTTCCCCAAAAAAAAGCTAAAACCAACTCTCTCCGGAGTTTTTTGTTTTATATATATATATATATATATATATATATATATAAAACGTAACAGTAAAGAAACTCAAATACGTAAGATGTTGATTTTAGAAACACTTAAAATTTATTAGGCGAATATTTCGGCTACTCCTGTAGTCTTTGTCAACGCTTGACATAAAAAGAACATATTGAGAAAGTATCTTGGCAATATATAATTTGAGAAACAATACGGTAATAAAGTCAAAGCAAGTCGGCATACGTCTATTAAGGATTAATGATAATGTACAAATAAACAGGGATAAGGGTGAACAATGAATGAGCAAGTGGTGGACTGTGGACACGCCTTCTTCATATA